TTCTCTGTTCTGGACATAAGCAGATTTCACCTAATAAGTGGCCTATAAAAACCCTTAATTTGACTTTGTTTCAAATTACATATATTACTTTGTTGTTCTTGAAGAATGTAACACCTGTTACTGCCTGACAAGAACTTTGCTTAATACGACAGTGTGTAAAAACATCAACAGCAGTGTCTTTCAATGGTTATTTAGGTGATATCTAAAGGTTACCGTCCCATCTATGATGTAGTGAGATCAGTCATGTGGGTAGTGCATGTTGCTCTGGGTAATTGCAAAACCTCTTGGTAACTAAGCCAAGTTGTATTTACTCAGTTTTGTCTGGAACATCATTTAGTTAGCACAGTCTGGAACTTTGTATTCGTCTGGCATAAGTAAGAATTACATTTGTATCCAGTCTCATTGTTCTGTTTAACATCGACTCAGTTTTAAGTAAGAGCTTTAATATTATTCCGTGATCGATATCTTCAGTGAGCTTCTCATTATTTAGTGGGCCTATCTGATAGCTCTAACAATAATTCAGTTCACCTAGATATACCACAAAGTGAATAGGTAGGAGAAAATCTTACACATATACTTTTTGTTCAACTTCTAACATACAACAAGTGGAGTTCATTTTGAATTTTCAGTCCTGGCTGTTTCTATAAAAAATGACGATTCCTGAACACTGGTTATCATGCTTTGTGACCAATGAGCATTCATGATATTCAAATAACTGCTGCTTTGGATCAAGACTTCCTGTATGAATAAGATGACCTACTCCTAGTGCTGCCAATTAGTGATTGGACGTGAATGCTAAAATGGTAAATGTTTAGGAAATTAAGAAAATATTTAAACGAAAACACATGAGAAAGGAAAATCTGCATTTCCAAAATAAATCGTAAATGAATAAATATATTGTATGAAAATCTCATCATTATTTTAAAACTGTGATTGTTTTGTTTCTGTGCTGAGCTGTAATGTATCGTAGTTTACCAACCACGTACTGAAGATCGAGACTGACAAAGACTCAAGAGATCATCACTTAGCTACATTCACACTTTGAGCAAGACAATACAGTATTGTTGGAAATAATGTGAGTCATTAAACGAAATATAACAACAAGTACAACGTAAGCTCATATAAAAGATTCCTGAAATATTCCCCTTCTCTCCTAAAAGCTTATCTGTGTTGTGAAGGAATGAAAAATAAGTGAAAACTCTTACTAATGTGCACAACAATGCTGTCAATATGAATGTTTTGACTAACCTAACATTTTTCAAGAGAGAATAGTGAATTTCATGCTCTCAACTTCGTAGTAAGTAATCGCTTCAAAGATGTTCGAAAAATGTCAAAGGTTATTGTTGCATCAGCAAAACTTTTAATCCACTTCGAAATAGTGGAACAACTGCAGAAGCTTGGAAGATATATAGAAACAAATGAAAGTGAAGCAACCTAAACTTAATCAAAGATGTGATAAGCATTGGAATAGTGTGTATAATACGTTTGACTGGCTTAGGGTTAATATATATGGCCCAATTCTTTATTCTTAGTGATTGCATCATAAAATAAGTCTCATGCTCGTTCTTTAGCATTTTGAAACAGCTGGTGGCAATTAATTGAATACATGTTCATTGTTCTGAAGCCACTTCACATGGCAATCACAAACCTAGAAAAGTTAGGAAATTTAAAATAAGGGTAGACATTTTAGGAAAACTGAAACAATTATCCTCAAAGTCAGAGATAATTATACCCCACTCCTTTTATCTGAAAACATGCACATGCAAACAAGCCTTGTCTGCTGTTGACTATGTGAATATTTGGTATATTTAAACATCTTGGTCAGTCCCTTGGTGTTGGTTTATCTGGAGAAAATGGAGTTTTACGTATGTATGGGTTGGATTCTTTACAGTAGTTGTCTGAGACTTGTTGACGATAAATTTCAGCAATAAACAAAAATCATACAGTCTACTTGTTTTAAAATAATATATTAAAACAAGTCAGACGTATATACAAATGTTTGTTACACTGTTGGTTATCACAGTTGTATCCAGAGCTTTAAATAATTGTCTCTTTCTCTTCAAAGTCCACACAGGCAGGTTCAGTTACTTTAGAACACAATTTGACAAGACGACTTATTCTTCTCTGCTCTGTTATTACAATACAATCAGTAATAATTTCACTTTAAAAACCGCCACTATATGCTCTTTATGGCTATACTCACAATCAATCAGTCTAGATCTATCTATCTAACTATCTCTTTCTGTGCTATCTCTTTTGACTCCATGTCTACAGTATTTATAAATTTTAATGGAGCAAAATAGGGATTTGTCGCTTGAGAAAGTAATGCAGACATTATTTACAGCTTAGTTTGTTTACTTTTTTTTTTTAGAGTCCTTAGCTGTAGGCTTGAAAATATAATCTGTGTATTTTGATTCAACTTGTTACTGTACTTTTTGGACGATCCCTGTTCTCCTCTTTTAAATTAACAATTTTTACTAATCTTGCTACTTAAGTTTTATGCCCATTTGTGGAGGATAAATTATAAGCTACATACATCCGTATACATTCAGTTTTTTCAACAGTTTACTGCTGTATTGGCTTTTTTCCACCCAAATATTATTTACTGAGCCAGGTGGCTTTGTGACTGAGGTTTCGTGTAAACAGCATTTCACAAGGGTCGAGTACAAAGGCAGCCGCTCATAACAACATCACATCTAATTATAGTAAAAAATATAGAAAAATAACATACAGGTCAATGACCTACTAACAAGTTATTAATAATTTGGCAATTGTCTTG